TTTCCAGATCCAGCGTGACGGCAGCAGACACAAAGCAATCGTTCGGCCCTTAGGTTTAAACGTTCTTTGTCATTTTCACATCTTCCCTTCTCATTTTATTTCTGATACAATTGGTGCATATGTGCAGAGACAAACAGTAGATAAATGTAATAATCTTGAAGATAAATTAGATTAGTTACAGCCTCAATCAATCAAAACAATACATATTAACATAAAAACACGGAAGATTATTAACATAGAATAAACTGTGAACACACTGCATCATAAGGTTTCTACCCCCGATAGACATTACTGTTAGAAAATATGGATTCACGGGAATTTTGCAATGACACTAAACAAGAAGTTTGTATTTGGAAAACTGGAAACGACGTGTGCACACTCTGTTGCTGGTCTGCAACAGCCATCGGTCCATCACACTCAGTGGGTGTGCATTGGCACTTTGTTGGCACTTTGTTGGACACATGTGGAGCACCATCCTCCAAGATCTTCTGTATCTCACTCAAGCACAGCTGTAAATGTCATAGAGATTAAAAGTTGTGTCTCAGTGGCTAAAAGGAGATGTAGTGCGTTTTAAAGTAATTCCGAGGATTTTGGCTCTCTGACTAACCTCTCCCTTTCTTAAAATGAGAATTACGTAGTCTCACATGATCTCATTTCATCTTTGCCAACATTTTTAGTGGGATTCTGCTGTTCTCAATCTCAATATTTGGGCGTGTGCTGTCAGGGGGCATGATTCAAACACTGAACACCAAAAGTATTGAGGACAGAGAGGCAAAGGGGAGAGATAAAGAATGCAACTCTAGAGACAAACTTTTCAGGAACAGGTAAAGAGTTTAAGTGCTGGGTTATCGTGAAAGAAGACACTGAGAAGAGAGTTTATCTGTTTGTGAGGTGTGGCTTTAGCCAGCGGTGCTTGGCCCCAAAGACAGAGGTGGCTCTGGGAGACCAAGCCCAATGCTCTGGGAGGAGAACTGTGACCATAAATCAGTCACCTCCAGTTAGACGCCGTTAACACCATTATGTGAGTGGATCTGCAGTGAACAGCTTTACAATGACATTAGCTGATGTTGGTGAACGACTGAGCTGCAGTCTTTTGAGTGAGAATTGATAATATTCAGACATTGAAATAATCCACTAAACAGAAAGGGCCATTCTTGTCAAACACAATCTTAATGGTTTTGTAATTATAACTAGAAAAGGCCCAAACGCCTCATCCTTCGTGTTGTCACAATTGCGCACAGCTTTGTCATCGCCATCAATGATCAGAGACTTTGGTTTATTCAATATGAGATTTTTTGGTTGTTTTCTCCAACCTACCAGTGAGATGCATTTCATATGGCATATATACATTTACACATTTATTATTTTAGTAAAGTAAGTTTTTGTTCAGTCATCAGACTCCCACTGATGACTGCTATCGTTGTGTCCTTGGGCAAGACACTTAACCCCACTTTGCCCAAAGCCCCCACTGAAAGATCAAGGCTATGCTCACACTCTGAGAGCAGCCGTCCTCCTGTGGACTCACCACCTGCAGAGGATCAGTGAGGGGCTGGTGCTATGAGACTTGGGTGGCATCTCTGACTGCCACCCCCCTGACCCAGAAATGGATTAAAGGGAAGAAAATGGATGGATGGATGGATGGAAGTTTTTGTTTATACCAAGTTATCTGTAAAAGCAGTGCCTAGTCCCAGGCTGCCAGCAGACTCTGAAACCCTCCCCTCCACCTTTGATAATACAATATCAGACTATTGTTATCTTGCAAATAAGATAATGTGCTGATTTTGTTGATACTCTGCTCCGTGATTCCAATCGCATCAGTTTTCCATCCTTTGAATTTTTGCTCTTCTGTTTCCGTTCCACTTTTTCATTGTCCCAGTCCATTATCACATCTGCATTCATCACTTTACTTTTGAATGATCTGGAAACAGCAGCGAGTCCTAAGTGTGTCTGAAACAGTTGTTTTGTGTTTCACTATTGTTATATTTCGAGGTTTTTCTGCCTGAGATGTTGCTGCAGTTCAGTGTTCATGGTTTTACACTGGTCCAGACCAGAGCAGAGAGGATTCATGGTTTTACACTGGTCCAGACCAGAGCAGAGAGGATTCATGGTTTTACACTGGTCCAGACCAGAGCCGAGAGGATTCATGGTTTTACACTGGTCCAGACCAGAGCAGAGAGGATTCATGGTCTGAACCAAGTGGATCAGGTGAAAATCCACTGCAGGAATGCTGACTTTATTCATTAGCATTTTACTTTGGACCAGAGCAGAGAAAATGGCCTGAACCGAGCGGCTCCACCTCTGCTGCTGAGACCTGAAGGACTGTTGCACTTTAACCCTATTGTTTTTATTTTTAGTATTATCTTTATATGTGTTTTGTTAGTTTGGAGGAATGTGTTTCTGCTGCTCCTGGACACCTGCATTTCTCCGACAGGGATCAATAAAGTATCTATAACAGCACTGATGTAGAAAAGAGACTTTCTCAACTTCGAAAGGAACTGTACTCTTCAATTTTGATAGTGTGGCCATACTTGACTGCAAAAGCCAAATCCAGTCAGACCTCTGAAGCTGAGCAGGGTGGGGCCTGGTTAATACTGTGATGGGAGACTTTTAGGAACACCCGGTGCCACAGTGGGGCGGCTGCGAAGTGCCAAATTGTGGTTATGTCCTTAGGCAAGACACTTCACCACATTAGAATGAGTCTGATGTATGTGTTGATGGTTGATAGATGGAGAAACCAATGGCACATACAAGGTGTCAATGTGCCCCAGGGCAGCTGTTGCTTCAGTAGTAATTTACAACCACTGTGTTTGTGTTTGAAAGAATAATGACATGTAAAGTGCCAAAGAGAACCAATGCACTAATATTTATATTTTTTTATATTATTATCACTAATATACACGCTATGGATCGTTTGGAGGTTGCATTAAGGCTGCAGTCCAATGAACATGAAGCACTACCATAAAAGTGCGGTTTTTCAGATCAAGGAGTATTTCTGCAGAATTGCACATGCATGAATTAAACGGAAAAATCAATAACAATGATGTTGGAATCCTTTTATCTATATCAACTGTACCTCAGAGTTTGCATGTGGTTTCATTGTATAAATCAGGACAACTGTTTTTGGCATTTCACTCACTCTCACTTCAAACTGATTTAATTACATATACTTGCCTCAGCAGTTCCTTCTGCCAAGTTGTAGTCAAGTCAAATCCTCTGCAGGTTGGTTCTCACACATGAAATGAGCTTGTGAGCATTCCAGTGCAAGTGCCGACTGGAACGCCAAATGTCACCCTCCTATCATAAGGTGAGATCAGATGAATGCTAATCCACTATAAAAACTTATTTCGGTGTACAACGGAGAAACATCCAGTGCGGTTCACAACATAAAACCACCACAGACTTGTTAGACTTAGATTTGAATTAAAACAAGTGCAAAAGGAGTGTGAGAAGAAGGAAAGGTGAAGTGAAATTAAACATTCCTTTACGATGATATTTTTGATCTGTTCTTTTCATACTGATTGTTTGGTCTTGTTTGGGTCAGCGGCTGAGTTTGATTTCAAGACAATTCAGTGCATTCTCGTATCGCCTTAAATCACAACAGCACTTACAGCATCTTGGAGGATTTTAAAAAACTGCTGAATTTGCAAAAAACAGATCCAAGAATCAAACAGTTAAAACACATACAATGATTTTTTTTTTAAACACACACATTGGTCCATACGGGACAGAGACTAATGTTCATGAATGTCATATGTCCTGGACCATCAACGCTGTCCTTTAGACCCTAATGCATCTGAAAAAAGAAAAAAAAACTGACTGTTTTTAGAAACTGGGAGAAAAGTGAGGGGTGGGGTCACATCTTAAAGTCATTTTTTGGGATTTTGCAAAACATCCCCATTAAGTTTCCCCCTGAAAGCTACAGAAAATGTCATGTTTTTTGTGGATGTGCTACTTTGCCCTGTAGCCTGTGTTGAATGGAACAAGCAGAGGCTGGAGATGGGTCCAGACAAGATCCAGCGCACTGCAGGCTCCGCACTGCTGTCATGAAGGGAACTCCAACACTCAAATGATCACCTTTAAACATACACCCACACAATTTGGCTTTAGTCCCTAAAATGTCATACTTTTCCAACTTTAATGATTGTGTGTGTGGTCTGCCTACTCTAAACCAGGCATGTCCAAACTCAGGCCTGGAAGCCAATTGCGGCCTTCATTGTAATGTTGTGTGGCCCTCTGCCTTGCTAACCCTCAATAGTCTTTGAGAAAAAAACACAAGTTCACTGTGTCATCCATCCAACTTCAGCTCAGCCAATACATGTTGTGACTCGTACGTCTGAATTTCAGTCGTTGACTTTATTTATACATATTGTACTGACGTGGTTTTTGATTGTTACTTCTGTTAGTGAATGTAGCTGGTGAGATGGTAAACATTTGTCATTCAGCCAACTTCAGCTCTGTTAAAGATCATTTTAAGTCTCAGAACACCCCGATGCCAGTCAAGACAGTTTTTCAGTCCGTGATGTCGGCCCTCTGGACTCTTAACCCATGCATGGGCAAATTGAGGCATCTGCAAATTCTTTCATCATGAATCATTACTCTGCATGTTTGTGTGATATTTAAGTACGTTCTACATACATAAGATGTGTAATAAGTTGTATTTTACTTAACCGTGAGACCAGGTGCACCATGGCCTGCAGCAAATTGCATGAAAATGTCTTCTCTTGCACTTCTATAAACTTTCCTCAGGCTCTGCTGCCACAGCCTGCACACAGCTGGGTGTGTCAAGCAGCGGTAACCTTACTGTGGTGACACGTTTACCGGTCCAACCTGCTCCTCTGCAGGTGAGGAGGGAGGCGGGACTTTGGAACCACCCCCAGCTCAGGTGTATAAAGCATCTCCATCGCCGGCTATATGACACTTAGAGGGACTTGACTCTCCTCTGAGTGCGCTCCACTGCTCTGCCAAGCCCCTCTCTGTCTACTATCCCTTCCTTTGCAACCATGAGGAGGAGCAGCAATATGAGTGTGAAACAGAGCTTCGGCGGTGGCAGCTCGTATGGTGGTGGTGGCAGCCTGGGTATGTCCAGCGGCGGTGGTGGCAGCATACGTATGTCCAGCGGCGGTGGCAGCTCGTATGGTGGTGGTGGCAGCATGCGTATGTCCAGCGGCGGCGGTGGCGGCTACAGCTCCCGATCTGCCATTGTTTCCAGGAGCGGTCCTGCTATCTCCTCCGTATCCTCCATGAGACTGGGCTCAGCTGCTGGTGGCGGTGGTGGCGGAGGCTTTGGCATGAGCATGGGAGGAGGTGGAGGCGGATTAGGCGGCGGATTAGGCGGCGGATTAGGCGGCGGATTCGGCGGTGGATTCGGCGGTGGTATGATGGGAGGTGGTATGGGTGGTGGAGGCATCGTCCCAACTATCTCCAATGTCCAATTCAACTCGAGCATCCTGGCCCCCCTGAACCTGGAGATTGACCCCAACATCCAGACGGTCCGCAGCCACGAGAAAGAACAGATCAAGGGCCTCAACAACCGCTTCGCTTCATTCATTGACAAGGTAAGATGGGCTATCTCAGGGGCCTTCATGAGACAGAAGTTTAAAGACACAATTCTCTTTTTGGATTGGCTCTCTAAGCTAATGTAAACCACAAGAATTAAAAGTGTATCATATGCACAAATGACATTGTTATCACCTAATCTACTAGACATTGTGTATAGACAGGAAGAGTTGCTACTGCTTGTTGTAATTGAAAGTGCAGAGTGGAAACACAATCGGGGTGGATCCAATAACATGTGGCAGTGAGGGATCGTGTTCTCACCTGCATCCATGGAAGCACACAGTCAATGGAGAAAGCCCACACGGCCTCAATAGAAAGATGATTAGCGCTTAAGTAGTAAAAAGCTAAAATGCAGAGTTCTCAGTTTGGAGTGGGAGGCGTATTTTCAAATTGTGTAGGCGTCGGCTCATTGGTGAAAGTTTTCCGCAGGCTAAATACTTCTTGCATCAAGTTGAGAGGGTGGGGTGTAGCACGCAAACCCACTCTCCGGTTACAATCGCCCAATTATTTATTAAAGCCATTGTTCTAATGTAAAGATCAACAAAAATGACATAGTTGTACACACCCTTTTGGTGCAATGAGGCAAAGTCAACACACATGCAAGACAGTATGAAGCACAAACAAAGGCAAAAACCTTTAATTTAGCTGTAATTATTATCGTGATGAATTTTTAGATCTGACATTTCAACTGTTTTTTTTCCCTTCTTCTTCAGGTGCGCTTCTTGGAACAACAGAACAAAATGCTGGAGACCAAATGGAGCCTGCTTCAGGATCAGACCACCTCCCGCTCCAACATCGACGCCATGTTTGAGGCCTACATTGCTAACCTGCGCAGACAGCTGGATGGGCTCGGCAACGAGAAGATGAAGCTGGAGGGAGAGCTGAAGAACATGCAAGGCCTGGTGGAGGACTTCAAGAACAAGTAAGCACAGTACATTTCACATACAGACTTAATTCAACCGCTCGCATCTGACTGTGGACTTGTCATTTTGTGGTTCAGATATGAGGATGAAATCAACAAGCGTGCCTCTGTGGAGAATGACTTTGTGCTCATCAAGAAGGTAAGAGCCACGGGGAAAAAACTATGCAGGATTTGAAAGAGCGTTGGCTAATATGCTGCTCTGTTGGCAGGATGTTGATGGCGCCTACATGAACAAGGTGGAGCTGGAGGCCAAGGTTGACAGTCTTCAAGATGAGATCAACTTCCTCAGAGCAGTCTTTGAAGCTGTAAGTTATCCAGACTGAACTATCTAGAATCAACAGACTGAACCAATTTCCATGTTCATTAAAGTATATTTTTCACTCTGAAGGAACTGTCTGAGCTCCAAGGACAGATCAAGGACACCTCAGTCATCGTGGAGATGGACAACAGCCGTGGTTTGGACATGGATTCCATCGTGGCTGATGTCAGGAAACAGTACGAGGACATCGCTGCCAGGAGCCGTGCCGAGGCAGAGAGCTGGTATCAGACTAAGGTACAAGCAAGGCACTTTCTACCAATGACGTTGTATGGTAACTTTAGAAAGAGCCCCATTCATCTTAAAATGTTGTTTTTATATAGTTTGAACAGATGCAGACCTCTGCTGGACAGTACGGTGAGGACCTCCGCAACACCAAGAGCGAGATTGCAGAGATTAACCGCATGATTAGCCGACTCCAGAACGAGATTGAGACGATCAAGGGACAGGTGAGCTAGCAATTGATTTTACTCAAAGGAGCATAATTAACAGCATGAATAAAAAATATACATACATACAATACATGCATGAAACTAACAGTCATGTGCGTTCAGCGTTCCAACCTGGAGGCCCAGATCGCAGAGGCTGAGGAGCGCGGGGAGATGGCAGTGAAGGATGCCAAGTCCCGTATCTCTGATCTGGAGGACGCCCTGCAGAGAGCCAAGCAGGACATGGCCAGACAAGTCCGCGAATACCAGGAACTCATGAATGTGAAACTTGCCCTAGACATTGAGATCGCCACCTACAGGAAACTGTTGGAAGGAGAGGAGGACAGGTGAGGAGTTCAACCGGCTAAATGTTAATAATATGTTCATGTTGTGTAGTGAATATGTTCACTGAACCATTTTTTCTTCTCTTTCTCAGAATTGCCACTGGTACATCGCACACGGTCCACGTACAGAGCTCAGGTTAGTACTTGTCAACATACTGACACATAAAATAAATATAATCTGACTAATCATTGATAAGTTTGTTGAAAGAATATCCCCAACATGTCTGATCTGATATTTTTTTATCTCAGGAGGTGGCGGAGGAGGCGGCGGTGGTGGATTTGGCGGCGGTGGATTTGGCGGCGGTGGATTTGGCGGCGGCATGGGTGGCGGCATGGGATATGGCGGCGGCATGGGTGGCGGCGGCTTTTCCATGAGCAGCAGCGGCGGCGGCGGTGGCGGTGGATTTGGCGGAGGCATGAGCATGGGCGGAGGTGGTGGAGGAATCTCAAGGATGAGCAGCAACAGCACCAGCAGCATGAGAATGTCTCGCTACTAAAACGCAGAACCTCCTTCCACACTCAGGCCACGCCCCTCTCCTTCTTCCTCTTCTTCTTTATTCAGCCGAGCCACTTGTGCACAGCAGCAGGAGTCTGTTTGAGAGTCAGTCACACCATCAGTCACTGGGAGTCAGTCTCTCTTGTCAGTCAGCCTGGATGTTTGTTGGATTAGCGATCACATGTGTCCTGACATACATGTTCTCACAGAGCTGCAGGAGAGGGCGGAGCTTATTCATATGACAAACAAACCAATGACCCCTCTTTCCTGTGCCGTAGGAATAAGTGTCCTCTCTGCTGCAGCTCTTCAGAAACATGTACAACCCACTTTTCTTTTGCGATGTTTCCAAAAGGGTTCTGATTTCTGTACATGTCAGTTTCCACATCGTTAGGCTGACTGGAACTCCAGATTTATCCAAATGTGTGTAACATCAGCATCACAAATAAATCTGAATCATAATCTTCAATTCATTCTCTGTGTCTGTTTTGTCTGTATTTCTAACATATCCATATACATACACCCATTCTTACTCTTCAGCCATACTTTACCATATTTTACCAGTATTCCACACTCACACATGTTTTAATACACTAGGCCAGTGTCTGTCAGGCTCCTCCTGCACCATTCACTTCAGCTGTTTGAAGTCAGAGAAGTGCCTTGAGGCCTGGGGCAGGACCTGAGAACACTTTAAAATAAACAGTGCCATAAGCCTCAAACACAGGTCTATATTTGCAGAGCTTTGGGCGGTGTACATTGAGATCCTCTGACATATTTATACAGCCTTCATATACACAAAACAGCTGCTAGAACCTGTTTGTAGGTGTTTAGGAAAGATGGGGTTTTGGTTCTTTTAACCTTTGATATTGATCTTAGCATATATTTACTTACCGTATTTTGGATCACTCAGAAAATAAAAGTGAGGTGAATGGAATAAATAGTTCTTACTGTTTTTCTTCTCAAATGTCTGACCTGAGGGATCTGCAAAAACCCCGTAAGTTTATAGACTGGACTTTCCAAATACACCCAAACTCTACAGCGCCACCTTAAGGAGGACCTCTATGGGACACAGCAGGGCGTGCCGTGTGTATTTTTATATTAATCAACTGAATTTCTGATTAAAGCACAAAAGTAGTGTTGATGTCCTAATATATATTTATGCTGTTTATTTTAAAAAACACAACAATTACAGTTTTTCTCAGTGGCTTTGGTGTATTTCTCAGATTTCTCAAAAGTGTTAGTTCAACCTCCACAACATTGACTCATGTGTGACTCATCGCAGTTTCTCCTTTGAACAGATTACAAATGCTTTTGTTCATGTATCAGTTACTTTCATATACAACTCTCTGCTGTTTTATAACATGATCTGCTTCTGTCCTGTCAGTCAGAATGAAACAGACTTATCACTTCTGGATAGTCTTTCTCTGTAAAACTAATATTAAACTAAAATAAATATAAAACTAATACTAATTTCATCGCTTTGGTCGTCACATACAAAACTGTTGTACTAGTTCAAAATCATATTTATGTATTTAAATATCTTCAAATATCATTTTTTTCCTGAAAATCTTTTATAAATTGAACAATCTCAGGTGAATTTCAGCTTCAGTCATGAGGAGGTGTCTGTTTTATTGTTTACATTGTTCTACGTATTTACATGTATGTGACTGTTTTTGTTGCACAATGCTGTTGCAAAGAGCAGTAAATATGTGAAAGACATACAGTACACACACATACACACATAGATACACACTGTACATACACATCCATATACATACATACACATATGTCAGTTATGTCTCTAAATACAGTCTTTGTGTAACTTTACTGTAGTTTTTACTGTAAATATCTGTACAGGTCGTGTACAGTGTGTTCAGAGTCGTGCTCAAGTGTCTCCAAGATCTGACTTTTTTACACTGAAAACACAGAAAAAACGTTCACAATGAAAACACGACTAAACCATGTGACTGTTCATACTCAATGTTGTCAGGACTTATTATTCTGAGACACAGTTTCATTGACATGAAGACTTGCTTTTGAGGAATTAACTTTTCATTTTGAGAAAGTGAGTTTTGTAGGTTTCCACGAGGTTTTGTGGTTTGCACTAATTGTTTTGAGAAATGCACCCAACAGTTGTATAAATGTGAAGAATTATGTCTTGTGCCTTGTGTATGAATTGTGCTATATAAATAAACTTGCCTTGCCTTGCCTATGTGAGAAATGCACCAAAGCCACTGAGAAAAAAAGGACCACCACAGCAGATCGATGAGGGTTGTTTCTCATTTCAACAAACAACTGTTTCCTGTTCCTGAATGACCAGAATTACACAAACTGTTTATATGTTATGTAGAAAGTATGTTTCTTGGTAACCTCTATGCTGCTGAAACAAATCCCCGAAGTGCTTTAGGATACTGCCCTCTAGTGGACATGACTTCTAACTTCAGATCTTCAGAGTTTTCATGTCAATTATTTACAGATTTAAAAAAAGAAATAAGTGTAATTTATTAATTATTTATTTATTAGCAGCAGGCAGTTTATTCTAAGAAGTCTATTCATTTTGAATACAAAATAAATATAAATTAAATGTAACAGAATGTGTAGTTTAATGATGAGTATCACGTTCGTCTCCATTAAAATGGGAAATAAGAGAACACAAATGTTATTTTTATTTTGAAAATACAGACCCAGAGAATTTTCTCTATGTTAAAATATCAATAATATACTTCTACATGGCTGTTCTTCTCGGATCATCAGGATCAAACGTCATGATCTCCATGTGGATAAGACCTGCAAGACCAGAGAGGGATTAACAACAAAGAAGGAATATTCTTTTGCAACAGTGCATTGAACTTTCACTGAGACATGCTCTAGAAAAAAACTATATTGTAAATTCAGCTTTGATGTCCCAACATGTTCATATTTACAGTCTATGGTCCCAACATGTTCATATTTACAGTCTATGGTCCCAACATGTTCATATTTACAGTCTATGGTCCCAACATGTTAATATTTACAGTCTATGGTCCCAACATGTTAATATTTACAGTCTATGGTCCCAACATGTTAATATTTACAGTCTATGGTCCCAACATGTTAATATTTACAGTCTATGGTCCCAACATGTTAATATTTACAGTCTATGGTCCCAACATGTTAATATTTACAGTCTATGGTCCCAACATGTTAATATTTACAGCCTATGGTCCCAACATGTTAATATTTCATGCTCCCAACGTGTTAATATTGTGTTGCGCATAAAAAATATATGAATCAATTCCAATTTTTACATATTGAAACACATTTTGTAGTCTCATTGTAAGAGTTTTTTTCAATTTTCGATGTAAACTTATTTCACAGTCCATTGAAAAGTCAACTAAAACATAATTTTTTTAGCTCAATCTCATCTAATTGCTGTTGCTGGTGCGCACTTTCAGACATATTTATCCTCAACAAATGTGGCATTGCTAATAATCAGTTCAAACTCCATCACTCGGGCTTCTGTATCCTGCAGCCTTGGGTCATGTCGCGGTGTCACTTACTCTTCCACTCGCCCACAGCCAGCTCCAGGCTCTCGAAGGAGTCGTCGTAGGGCTCAGAGTCGGGCTCCGTGTCTGGGTCGTGATACTCGCAGACGAAAGGCTGAGAAAGGCCCTGAGCTGCGGTCAGGCGCTTCTCTGGGTCCAGCAGCAGCATGCCCTCCAGCAGCTCCACCGCTACACACAAACAGAAGAACGTTTAGGGCTCAGGGTGTAGTTAAGGGGCAGTTAAGGGTAAATACATGGTTTTTCAGTGTGGGTCTAACAAAAAGGACTGTGGTGAGGATCCAGGACACTCAATCAACAACATATATGCTGCTGTCAGGCTGTACGACGAGAATGTATAACAAGAACTGCTGCGTCAACAAGTGTTACTGATAATAATTTACTAGGAACTTTGTCACTAGTCACTTTACCTGTTATTATTACTGCATTATTACATATCCATCTGATATAAGATAAGATAAGATGGACTTTATTGATCTCACGCTGGAGAAATTTACAACTATATCTCTGTCATTCACTAGTCACCTTACCTGATATTATTACTGATGTTTTTTCTGCTTATATTCTCCGCTGCTTAAGTACAATACACACATCTGTAAATACCTCTGAACCAACTGCAATTATAGCTCCTGAGTTGATTTATCTTTTTCTTTATCTTATTCTATTCATATTGTCCATCCATCCATCCATTTTCTTCCCCTTAATCCATTTCTGGGTCAGGGGGTGGCTGTCAGAGCTGCCCCCAGTACACTTAGCACCAGCCCCTCACTGATCCTCCTGCAGGTGCTGAGTCCACAGGAGCTGAGATCTTTCAGTGGGGGGTTCAGGCAAAGTGGGGTTAAGTGTCTTGCCCAATTAAGGACACAACAACGGCAGTCATCAGTGGGAGTCGTACAGATTGCCATGGTAACGGTCCGAGGAAAGATATCAAATGTGATACGCGCTGTTCGGACCAATTGTCATGGTAACGGTCCGAGATGGGAAAATATCAGACCGGTAATCAGCCAATCAGAGCGCGCGTACGGTCCAGGTCATATAATAAGTAGGTCTTACGGTGGGCTCGAACCCACTTCAGGCCAATGCTCTACCAACTGAGCTACTGTCGCCCCCAATTATATGATCTATAATCTTAAATAATAGACGTATGTGTGCGTCCGAGTCTTACTTCCTTCTTTCTCTGCTTTAATGTGCAACGATGAGACTGATATTTCTCCACTGGACATTTATCAACACACATGGTCATTGGTCAACTCTCTATGGACCAACACCTAAGATCGAGATCAAGAGATTCTTTGTTGGTCCCACAGCGGAGAAATGTCAGTGTTGCTAAATAGATAAATGAACAATAGTTATACTAATTAAAATAACAAAAACAAAATATCTAACTCAAGCATCAATGTCTCCGTTATTCTCTGTGTTGAACGTTTTGATTCTCTGATCTGAGATACTACTGTTGTGATTTAGAGCAGGCATGTCCAAACTCAGGCCCACGAGCCACTTGCGGTCGTCTGTGCCCTTTAATGTGGCCCTCTGCTGCTAACACAAAGTCGCCATTGAGGCACTTTGACAGTATCATCCAACCAACTTCAGCTTCACCGTATTGTAAATCTCAGACCCTCTGGAATCCCCTTGTTGACTCTATTGTTGTTAACTGACTGATTTGTTCCATGATTTTGTCGTCGGCCCCGGGTCAAGTTTGATGAACAAAAGTGGCCCTCTTACAAATAAGTTTGGACACCCCTGATTTAGAGCGATACAAGAATAAAATGAATTGAACTGAACTGATTTAGTATCAATCAGTAGCTCAGTTGGTAGAGCATTGGAATTTGAGCCAGAAAGTTGTGGGTTCGAGCCCGCCATGAGACCTTGTCCATAGACTCCCACTGATGTCTGCTGTCGTTGTATCCTTGGGCAAGACACTTAACCCACTTTGCCTATAAGGAGCGCAGAAGTGATTGGTTTGATACTCTATCTGTAATATGTGTATGCATCAAACTAAAAAGTCCCCATTGTGGGACGAATATAGGCCCTTCTTCTTCATCAATCTGGTGCAGCGAAAAAGTGGAATATCAATCTTTATTGGTAGACAGGGCAACACAAAGAGCTTCACAGTCCACATCGCACTAAGGCACAAATCATCACATAAAACTAACGCCAGAATCATCCAAGTCCCGGCGATCCAAGCCCTGGCGATCCAAGATGGCGGCGTATTCAAATGAATGCATGGTCGCTGATATATTAGCAGAACTCGCCATATCACAGGCTGTATTTGGGCATTGTCTGGTCCTCCCTGTTCTGCGTAGTGGATGATCTCCCATGATGCGTTGCGCCAAATACACACGTGTGGCTCTCATGAACGTGCACAGAGGGGCTCGTTAGTTTACATTGAGATCTATGGGGAAAATGTCTGTGTAGCCCACGTGAATTTAATCTGCAGTACCGCAAGAATCCCCCGAGCACTTGGGTCCTTCAGCTCCAAGCTAGTAATACCCTCTCCAGTTATTATAATAGATCCATGGAATCATCATAAAAGGAAATCTTACCATGTTTCTCCATGTTGGGGAAGACCTCTCCAAATGTCTTTTTTTTCTGTGGAGGCAAGCCTTGAACGTACGACTGTGCCTGAAAATGTATCAAACAATTCATTATAACCTCTATCCAGGAGGTAAATAATAAAAGTTATGAAAGAGTATTTTATGAATGGTGTTAACCGCTTTGACTCAGGGAAGAACAGATTTTTAGCAGCGATCCAAATGTCATTAGGAAGTTTATAAATCTTAGTCTATTCCATCATAATAACCACATAAAATACTTCATCTCTCAAAATTGTGTTTTTATGTATACTTTTATGCTTTTCCAGCCAAATGACCGCAAAATGAAGTTTAGTTGTTGTTTTGTGCTTTATACATTCAATTTTTCTTGCTTTTTTCTGCCTGAGATGATGCGTCCAGACCAGGGCAGAGAGGATTCATGGTTTTACACTGGTCCAGACCAGAGCAGAGAGGATTCATGGTTTTACACTGGTCCAGACCAGGGCAGAGAGGATTCATGGTTTTACACTGGTCCAGACCAGAGCAGAGAGGATTCATGGTTTTACACTGGTCCAGACCAGAGCAGAGAGGATTCATGGTCCGAACCAAGTGGATCAGATGAAAATCCACTGGAGGAATGCTAACTTTTTGAAAAATGCTAATGAAGCATTTAGCATTTTACTTTGGACCAGAGCAGAGAAAATGTTCTAAACCAAGCGGCTCCACCTCTGCTGCTGTGACCTGAAGGACTGCTGCTGATTATTACTGTTGTTTGCTTTTTTGAATCATCAATTACATTTTTTTATTGTTGCTGCTACTAGACACCTTAATTTCTCCGACTGGGATTAATAATCAGAATCAGAATAATTTTTATTGCCACGTAAGTAACAGGAGGTCACAGACTAGGAAATTGCTTTGGCTCAGTGCAACAGTCAAAAAGAGATAATAAAAATAAGAATAAAAAACACTTCTAAAGAATAAATTTAAATTTAAAATAGAGTTACAGTTACTATTTACAATATACAAGTGCACATGGTGCACACAATGTAAGGTGACAGCAGTACAGTGAAGTAAAGTGACGTATGATGGGCAGTAAAGTGACTTTATAAAGGGCGGGGGGACAGGTTAAGAAGAGTCCAACAGCAGAGGGGAAGAAACTGTTCTTGTGGCGGGAGGTTCTAGTCCTGATGGACCGCAGCCTCCTGCCTGAGGGGAGTGGTTGGAATAGTCCATGTGCAGGGTGAGAGGGGTCGGCTGTGATACGACCAGCCCGGCCTCGAGCTCGGGCGACGTACAGGTCCTGCAGCAATGGAAGGCTGCGGCCGATCACTTCCTCTGCAGAGCGCACAATGCGCTGTAGTCTCTGTTTGTCCCTGACTGTGGCTCCAGCGAACCACACGGTGATGGAGGAGGTGATGGAGGAGGTGATGGAGGAGGTGAGGATGGACTCGATGATGGCCGTGTAGAACTGCACCAACATCTGTGCAGGCAGCTTGGCTTTCCTGAGCTGCCGCAGGAAGTACATCGTCTGCTGGGCCTTCTTGATGAGGGAGCTGATGGTCGGCTCCCACTTGAGGTCCTGGGTGATGGTGGTGCCCAGAAAACGGAAGGACTCCACAGAGGTGATGAGGGAGTCCATCACGGAGGGTGGGGGTGGGGGGACAGTGCTCTTCCTGAAGTCCACAATCATCTCCACTGTCTTCTGGGCGTTCAGCTCCAGGTTGTTACCACTGCACCAGGACACCAGCCGGTCCACCTCCCTCCTGTAGGCGGACTCATCGTTGTTGGAGATGAGTCCAATGAGGGTGGTGTCGTCCGTGAACTTGATCAGCTTCACGGAGTCGTGGCTGGAGGTGCAGTGGTTGGTGTACAGGGAGAAGAGCAGGGGAGAAAGAACACAGCCCTGTGGGGCTCCTGTATTTATAATCCGAGAGTCCGAGACATTCTTCCCCAGACGCACTCGCTGCTTCCTGTCCGTCAGGAAGTCAGTGATCCACCTGCAGGTGGAATCGGGCACGTTGAGCTGGGAGAGCTTGTCCTGGAGCAGGGATGGCAGGATTGTGTTGAAGGCAGAGCTGAAGTCCACGAACAGGACCCTGGCGTAGGTCCCCGGGGAGTCCAGGTGCTGTAGAATGTGGTGGAGGGCCAGGTTAATGGCGTCGTCTACAGATCTGTTGGCTCTGTAGGCGAACTGCAGGGGGTCCAGGAGGGGGGAGGTGAGGGACTTGAGATGGGAGAGAACCAGGCGTTCAAATGACTTCATGACGACAGGTCTGTAGTCATTGAGTCCTGTGATCCTGGGCTTCTTCGGGACGGGGACAATGATGGAGGATTTGAAGCAGGCCGGGACATGGCAGGACTGCAGAGAGGTGTTGAAAATGTCCGTGAACACAGGAGTAAGCTCACTGGCGCAGTGTCTCAGAGTGGCCGGAGACACGTGGTCCGGGCCAGGAGCTTTGCGGGGGTGCAGCCTCAGGAAGAGTTGTTTAATCTCTTTAGCGGCTATTGTTAGGCTGGGGGCAGGGCTGATGGGTGGGTCGTTAGAGTAGTGGGGGGTGGGGGAGGGAGAGGTGTCAGGGGCAGCATCAAAGCGACTGAAAAATAAGTTCAGATCGTCAGCTAGCTTGTGGTCGTCAGCACAGGGGGGGGCTTTGGGTTTGTAGTTGGTGATCTCCCGTAGGCCCCTCCAGACAGAAGCAGTATCGTTGTTACCAAACTGCTCCTGTAGTCGTTCTCTGTGCCGGGACTTGGCTGCTTTCAGTTCTTTCCTGAACTGATATTTAGCTGCTTTGTAGCCGCTGCGGTCCCCCTCCCTGAAAGCAGACTCCTTTGCTTTCCTGAGCTGCCGGAGTTTAGCAGTGAACCAGGGTTTGTCGTTGTTATAGATGACCCTGGTCCTTGTTGGAATGATGCTATCCTCACAGAAGTGAATGTATGACGTCACAGTGTCCGTATATTCATCCAAGCTGTCTGTGGCAGCTCTGAAAAGGTCCCAGTCTGTAGATTCCATGCATGCGCGCAGCTCTTCCACAGCTTCATCAGACCACACTTTGGAGCTCCTCACTGCAGGTTTCGAGAGCTTTAGTCTCTGTCTGTAAGCAGGAACCAGATGTGTCATGGAGTGATCTGAGAAGCCGAGGGCTGGCTTGGGAACAGCGCGAAAATCTCCGCGTACGGTGGTGTAACAGTGATCCAGAGTGTTCTCCTCTCTGGTCGGGCATTTGATAAACTGTCTGTATTTGGGTAATTCCTGGCTCAAGTTTCCCTTATTAAAATCCCCCAGGATAATAATCAGAGAGTCCGGGTATAAGCGTTCCATACACAGTACTTGCTCTGCGAGTGCGCGCTGAGCCTCGCGCGCGTCCGCGCATGGCGGTATGTAAACAGAGGCAAGAATGAATGAAACAATTTCACGCGGGGAGTAATATGGTTTACAATGAATGAAAAGATATTCCAGAGCAGGAGAGCAGTGCTTGGAGATCACTGTCACATCGTTACACCAGTTTGTATTGACGTAGAAACACAGCCCACCGCCTCTGCTCTTCCCTGAGAGCGCACAATGGCGATCCGTGTGGAACAGCCCAAAGCCCTGCAGCTCCAGAGCGCAGTCCGGGATCCGCTCATTTAGCCAGGTCTCAGTGAAGCAGAGGACACAGGATGTGGCAAAGTCCTTGTTTCTTCTCATGAGCAGGCTGAGTTCGTCCATCTTATTGCCCAGTGAGCGTACGTTGGAGAGAAAAATGCCGGGGAGAGCCGTGCGCGCTCCTCTCCTCCTCAGACGCACGAGCAGCCTCCGCGCTTTCCCCTTTTACTGGCCCACACTTTTTTGGCTAGAACATGGACTAAATCAGCCGCAGATGCCAAGAAAACAGGCAATAGGTCCATGGGTACGGTGGGTCGGATGTTCATGAGTTCCTCACGGGTGTAGGAACAGCCAGATGCGCAGTTAAAAAGTAAAAACAAAAGAAAAAGAGAGCAGCAAAGAGCCATGTCGACCGTACGAGGCGCCATCTTTGTTTTAAGAGTATCTTAATCTTATCTTAAAAGTATCTATCTATCTATCTACTGTACCTTTAATTTGAGGCTTAGTCTGGGATATTTAAAGATATATAGGAGGATATCCCAGAATTTTAGGAGAGAACCGCCCTTCTCAGATGGAACGCCTGTTATAATGTGTCTCACAAATCACCAGAATGATTGACAAGTAGCAGGACCAATAGATAATCCAATCCAATCTTTAACGTCATTATTAAGTATGAAGTCCCTCTTTCTCTAAGACTGCAAACCAGACATTACCAGATAAACAAGTTCTTACATCTTTGCTCTGCATCTTCCGAACCATACTGCTGTCTGGAGTTCCCGTCAGTCGCATGATCTTGTTGAGCTGGTCAATACCTGAACAAGTGGTTTAAAGGCAAAAATGTTTGTGAACTTTGAACCCACACAAACACATTCTTCGCCAACAGTGTAAAGGATACTGTCGTTCCCAGGGAAGAGAACATGGCCTGTGATCATCTCAGCCAGGATACAAGCAGCTGACCACACGTCCACTGTAAGGCAAGGCAAGTTTATTTATATAGCACAATTCATACACAAGGCAATTCAAAGTGCTGAACAAAATAAGAAAGCATTCAAATCATAAATAATCACTATACATCAAAAAGAAAGATAAAAATATAAAATCCCTCAGTTGTATGCACAGCTAAACAGAACTGTTTTTAACCTGGTTTTAAACATTGTCAGAGAGGAGGCCTGTCTCACATCTTCAGGAAGACTGTTCCAGATTTTAGCAGCATGAATCTGAAAAGCAGCCTCCCCATGTTTAGTTCCTGGTTCTAGTCAGGACTAATGTGATCGTACTTCCTGGTTCTAGTCAGGACTAATGTGATCGTACTTCCTGGTTCTAGTCAGGACTAATGTGGTCGTACTTCCTGGTTCTAGTCAGGACTAATGTGGTCGTACTTCCTGGTTCTAGTCAGGACTAATGTGGTCGTACTTCCTGGTTCTAGTCAGGACTAATGTGGTCGTACTTCCTGGTTCTAGTCAGGACTCGAGCTGCTGCATTTTGAATGTACTGCAGCTGTTTTACAGCCTGTTTGGACAGACCTGTGAGCAGGCCATTGCAGTAGTCTAACCTACTGGAGACAAATGCATGGATAAGAATCTCCAGGTCTGCTTTAGACACTATGTTTTTGATCCTGGCAATGTTTTTTAGATGGTAAAAAGCTGCGGATTGAGAAAGCATCGAGGTTAGATTCATACTCCAATCTCCACAACCGTCACATAAACAGCTCTCACATTTACCCACCTGTCTGTGTGTAGTGCATCCAGTTGAAAATGATCTCCGGCGCTCTGTACCAGCGTGTCACCACATAACCGGTCATCTCTGTTTCCGTATGCCGCGCCAAGCCGAAGTCCAGGATCTGAACACAACACAAGTCACTGAAGGAGGAACACGCACGAGACAAATGCATCTGGGAACTTATGATTGTCTTTAACTGTGTTTTTATCAAACTGAGACTGATCTGATCTCTGATGGTTGATTATGAAACCTGTGGCTACTCCAGGGATTTACAAACTGTTGCTTTGAAGGAATCATTAGCTTTTCTTTTAATGAATTATCAGTCAATCAAGATGCACACCGACATAAATTTGTACATAAATATGTTTTTAAGAAATATATACAATTGGGAAAAGTGTGCATTTGACTTTACATAGAATCTTGGCAAGAGTGAAATAGCTTCTGAAGAAAATAACTGTTTTTTCTTTTATTTGGAGTCGTGTTTTTTTGTTTTTACCTTAAGTTCACAATTCTCGTTCACGGCGAGATTTTCCGGTTTGAGATCCTACAACATAACACCATGTATGTGTGAGCGTACATGAGGAAACCCAGGGCAAATGGCAAATACTGACCCGATGAATGATTCCTGCTGAGTGGATGTACTGCAAGAATTGACAGAGATGCAAAGTAAAAACAAGTGGATTCAATAAATATAAATACAGAAGACAGACGGATGGATATACAGAGATAAAAACTTGAATTATCCCAGGGGAGAAAATTCAACAGACCATTTTACAACAACTGAAAGGTACATGACAATTACATACATCCATTTTCTCAGTATATATGGGCTGTTTTAAAGGTACACTGTGTAGTTTTTACTCGCATCTAGCTTTGAGATCATATATTGTAATTTACGGTACTACGGTGGCTTCGAAAGGACAAAATGTGGTCTTTGACAGTGGTCCCGAACTCCCGCTCATACTCCTTTTTTTGTCCCTTATCAACCACTGTATTTCAAGATGGTGCATTGACCTGTCGAGTTCTCAGCCTCATGGACATTTATAAGTCAATTTCTAAGTCTGTGAAAACAATTCAAAATTATGGGGGAGGTAAATATTCTTAAAAAGGTCACATTTGTTATTGGTAAACATGTTTTTTTCAATTGGAGTAACAATAAAAATTACACAAAGGACCTTTAAAGGAGCAGTATGTAAAAATGTGGCCAAAAGTGGTACTGCAGCCTCTCCCACTCTCCCTGACTCTGGTTGCCAGATATGCAGACGAATCCAGCTGGGACCATAACAGCTGAATAGACAAGAGTTTTGTCAACAACAAATCTATAACCAACACCTTTTTCACAAAGATAGAAATCCTGGTTTTATTCCTTGTTTTGTCGTTAATGATTTGAGAATCATAACGAGAGCTTTTTTAGTTCTGCGCCACATGGTACTTTACCAGTGAGATGACGCGGTGAGTTCTGGCGCCCGGATCACAGACTTTCTGATTGGTGAAACGGTGGAGGGCGAGACATCGAAATGAAAACAATAACAAGATAAAACGAATTTGGAATTATAAAAATATCTCTGAACTACTGTCATCAGTTAAAGAAGTATTGGAAATGAGCAGGTTTTATTAATGCCTTTGGACGGATTAGGGCCCTTTAATGATGACAGATTAGGGCCCTTTAATGATGACAGATTAGGGGTCTTTAATGATGACTTTAATGATGACAGATTAGGGGTCTTTAGTGATGCCAGATTAGGGGTCTTTAATGATGACAGATTTGGGCCCTTTAATGATGACAGATTAGGGCCCTTTAATGATGACAGATTAGGGCCCTTTAATGATGACAGATTAGGGGTCTTTAATGATGACAGATTAGGGGTCTTTAGTGATGCCAGATTAGGGGTCTTTAATGATGACAGATTAGGGCCCTTTAATGATGACAGATTAGGGCCCTTTAATGATGACAGATTAGGGCCCTTTAATGATGACAGATTAGGGCCCTTTAATGATGATTTGACATGAAAATCTTACTACTTTAAGGAACTGCCCTCCCACCTTGAGCCCTCTCAGGAGCTGATAGAAAAGGTACGTGATGATACGGTCGGTCAGCCTCTTCTTCTTCATGATGTGACCCAGGTCCTGTGCCACGAACGGCATCACCATGTAACTGTGAACCAAACAAACCAGTCTCCAAAACAAGAAAAAACAAGCTGACACAAACACTCCTCATACAGGCCCCCACATGTACAGAGGTGCAGAAGGCAGCGAGAAAACCGGCCCAAAAAATGCACTCACAAAGTCTGGAATGTGTCCAGGGTCGAGGCCGGAGTGAAGACGTTCAACAAGGAGATCACCTGAACACACAAGAGTCCATGCTTTTTATTATGCATTTAGTTAAGAACGAATGAATTCTTTTAACTGTGAAAATAACAGGCAAACATTCAAGTCTGTAAGTATGTATGTATGTAAGTATGTATGTAAGTAAGTAAGTAAGTATGTATGTATGCATGTAAGTAAGTAAGTAAGTATGTATGTATGTAAGCATGTAAGTATGTATGTATGTATGTAAGTAAGTATGTATGTATGTAAGTAAGTGAGTATGTATGTATGTATGTAAGGAAGGAAGTAAAAAGTATATACGTAAGTAATGTAAATAAGTAATGTAAGTAAGTATTGTAAGTAAGTAAATATCTCTAAGTAAGTAAGTAAGGAAGAAAGGAAGGAAGGAAGGAAGAAACAAAAAAACATTGAAAGGAAGGAGGTATGGTAAGTAAGAAGTAAAAGTAAGAAGTAGGAAGCAGGGACTAAAGCGCAGTGTGTGCAGAACGTATTAGTCCTTGATCTTGAAGTCTCTCACAAAAGCGTCTCAACTAAACCAGAGCTGCCAAACCTATAGTGTGTGAGAGCTGTACATCCAGAGGGAGTACTGTACTTTTATACTTTTATTACAACAGCCTTATTAGAGTTTGGGATTCCCCTGAACGAGCCAGAATGAGGAAGTCTGGACGTGTCAGCTCAGACGGCAGCGCTTACAACCCAAGAACATGGATGTGGGAAAATGTACATAAATGCCCTGTGTGTATCCCTGGTATTAATATGTACAAGATATATGCAAATGTGGACACAATATGTTTTTTTTTTTAATGATAAGATGTATTAGCCATTGTAGATTTGTGTGTACAATCAAACAATTTTATCCTTATTTAGGATTCAGATTCATTTAATTTGGTATTTACAGTGGGGCAAAAAAGTATTTAGTCAGCCACCGACTGTGCAAGTTCTCCCACTTAAAATAATGACAGAGGTCTGTAATGTTCATTATAGGTTCACTTCAACTGTGAGACACAGAATGTGAAAAAAAATCCAGGAATTCACATTGTAGGATTTTTAAAAAATGTATTTGTAAATTATGGTGGAAAATAAGTATTTGGTCAATAACAAAAATTCAACTCAATACTTTGTAATATAACCTTTGTTGGCAATAAAAGAGGTCAAACGATTACTATAGGTCTTTACCAGGTTTGCACACACAGTAGCTGGTATTTTGGCCCATTCCTCCATGCAGATCTTCTCGAGAGCAGTGATGTTTTGGGGCTGTTGCCGAGCAACACAGACTTTCAACTCCCTCCACAGATTTTCACTGGGGTTGAGGTCTGGAGACTGGCTAGGCCACTCCAGGACTTTCAAATGCTTCTTACGGAGCCACAACTTCGTTGCCCGGGCGGTGTGTCTGGGATCATTGTCATGCTGGAAGACCCAGCCACGTTTCATCTTCAAAGCTCTCACTGATGGAAGGAGGTTTTGGCTCAAAATCTCACGATACATGGACCCATTCATTCTTTCCTCAACAAGGATCAGTCTTCCTGTCCCCTTAGCAGAAAAACAACCCCAAAGCATGACGTTTCCATCCCCATACTTCACAGTAGGTATGGTGTTCTTGGGATGCAGCTCAGTCTTCTTCTTCCTCCAAACACGAAGAGTTGAGTTTATACCAAACAGTTGTACTTTGGTTTCATCTGACCACATGACATTCTCCCATTCCTCTGCTGTATCATCCATGTGCTCTCTGGCAAACTTCAGACGGGCCTGGACATGCACTGGCTTCAGCAGGGGGACACGTCTGGCACTGCAGGATTTGATTCCCTGTCGTCGTAGTGTGTTACGATTTTTGATCACTGTTCTCATGATCATTTCGACCCCACAGGATGGGTTAGGGTCTTGCGTGGAACCCCAGATCGAGGGAGATTATCAGTGGTCTTGTTTGTCTTCCATTTTCTGATTATTGCTCCCACAGTTGATTTGTTCACACCAAGCCTATTGTAGATTCACTCTTCCCAGTCTGGTGCAGGTCTAGAATTCTTTTCCTGGTGTCTTTCGACAGCTTTTTGGTCTTGGCCATAGTGGAGTTTGGAGTGTGACTGTTTGAGGCTGTGGACAGGTGTCTTTTATACAGATAAGGAGTCTCAAACAGGAGCCATTAATACAGGTAACAGGTGGAGGACAGAAGAGCTTCTTAAAGAAGAAGTTACAGGTCTGTGAGAGCCAGAGATCTTCCTTGTTTGAAGTGACCAAATACTTATTTTCCACCATAATTTACAAATAAATTCTTTAAAAATCCTACAATGTGAATTCCTGTATTTTTTTTCACATTCTGTCTCTCACAGTTGAAGTGAACCTATGATGAACATTACAGACCTCTGTCATTATTTTAAGTGGGAGAACTTGCACAGTCGGTGGCTGACTAAATACTTTTTTGCCCCACTGTACTTATTTAGAAGAAGCTGGAACATTGCTTTTCCAGGGGCCAGAAGAGTCATTGATTATTTTAAGAGCTCAGTTTAAAAGTTTGGATTTATAAAGAAGGAGGAAAGGATGAGCAGAACCCATCTCCTGTGGGCGTCGTTTTTTCGCTCCTGCTCCTCCCCTTTGACTTTTACCGCCAAGTCCTTGCGTGTCTACTGAACAGTCCGTTTGTGCGTGCTAAGAGGTCCGTACATTGCGACGGTCGAACGCGCGTCACCATAGACTTTGCATTGAAACTCGACGCAGCATGATCCGGTCTGAAAGCACCATTAGAGTTAGACATAACCATAACCATGACCATTTCAAAAACACCTCTTTTTTGACTGGTACTGCCTGAAAAAAAACAACCATCTTGTTGAGTTAATTTCAAAGTTTCGATTCCTTCAGTGTGAATCTTCCATTTTCATAATCATGAAAATAAAAAATCTCTTTGAATGAGAAGGTGTGTCCAAACATTTGGTCTGTACTGTAAGTAAGTAATCTTTATTTATATACCGCCTTTCACAGACCAGTGTCACAAAGCACTTTACAATTGTCTCTCATTCCACACAGAGATGAGAGATTTTTAAATAATTACGCAATTCTATAAAATATAGATGCGGTAGTTCCTAATAAGTGATTGTGATGGGAGTTTTCTGAATTTGAGTTCACTTTTTTCTCTCTCGATTAATCCAGCATGATATTGTAGAGACCTTATAACTCGGTCATTTGAACTTGGCAGCTGAGTTGTTTTTAGGCCAAACACTGAAACCCACAACAACACAGCGGCTTGTGGCATTATTCAACTAAAAAGGTTGGAAGGATTATTCAAGAATAACAAATAAAATAGTGTGTGTATGCAGGTGCAGTACATTCTTACATTGTCGTGTTGTATGTGCCGCAGCAGCCGCAGTTCTCTGTAGGCCCGTTTAGCGTGGATCAGGGACTGGAAGGGCCGGTACAGCTTCTTTATGGCCACTTTCTCTGCAGTCTTCTGGTCAATCGCAGAGCTGAGGAAAACATGGTACTAAATTACAAATACGTTTGTCCAAGAACACATAAGACATATTTTAGTAAGAGGGCCACTTTAGTTCATCAAACCAGCCCAGGGACCGACGTCACGGACTGAAAAACTGTCTTGACTGGCATCGGGCTGTTCTGAGATTTATTATGAGCTATAAAAGAGCTGAAGTTGGCTGAATGACACATGTTTACCATCTTACTAGCTACATTAGCACCATTAACGGAAGTGACACAATCAAAAACCACGTAATTACAGAGTGTAAAAATTTCAGACGTTCTGGGTTTTAGAAGGAGTCATGACATGTCTATACTGGCTGAGCTGAAGTTGGATGGATGACAGAGTGAAAGTTTTGGTTTTTCTCAAAGACTACTTTGGGTTAGCATGGCAGAGGGCCACACAAAATCACTCTGAGGGCCTCAATTGGCACCTGGGCCTGAGTTTGGACATTCCTACAATCAGGGGCCTACAGTTGGAGGGTGGAGAGAGACAGGGACGTCGTTCTTTTCTGAATTATTACAAATATAATGTATGTTTTTGTTGCTTCAGATTTACATTTGTGTATGTTCAAAGTATTGGCTGTTTTCTTCTGCTCAGATAGCAATGTTCTATCAATTAAAAAAATGTATAAAAAGGAGCCTCATTACGTAAAGGTATTTAGGAGGATTTTCTACTTCACATTGGATCATCAAGACTATTGGTCCTCCCAACTGTCAATCATTCTGGTGATACGTGCTCGTCCAATAAGAGTAGAGAGTTTGGTTCAACAAGTGGAGAGGGGAAAATCCTGCTTTATACATTCAAAATGTAAATAAAACACATTTTACATTACAGAGTTCTTTTGCATCAGTGCTTATCATTTTTACAACATATCTAAGTGATATCTCAGAGTTAGAATAGTTTGGAAAAATACAGAATACATGACCAAAAATATATTTTGTTCCGTTACTTTGGATAAAGCAGTATGAAAATAGTTAGAATACTTTAAATTATTATTTTTATATTATAAAATTTGATATTATTTATATTTATTGTAATATATGTTTATTTACAAAACTTATAAAGGCATCAATTTCAAAATATTGAAACCCACAAAGTCAATAAATGTTTAAATATTTTTTTTCTTTTGTAATTATATGAACATTTGTTTGTTTTTGTAAAACAAGTCAAAGTGCTTTAACAGCTGCGTTTAACAAGCAGAGGAAACAGAATATTCACTCTAAGAATACCCAATGTTTTATAACCTTAAAACGTAATATAAAACAAGTCTGTATTCTCGTGATTTTCAGAAAGTAACTATACTCTATAAACGAATACATACGGACGTTACATGTATTTCATTACTCCCCGACACTGCGATCTCTCAGTGGACCTCTCAAGGCATGTCCTGTGTCTTATTGTTTACACTTTTGTGATTCTTTTTTTAATATGTGGGGTTGGACTCCACTATGTCTGCCCTGTGTGTGTGTGTGTGTGTGTGTGTGTGTGTGTCTCCCCTGCAGAGTGATGGAGCCGCAGGGGCCGCTCAGATTCCTGCTCCCTCCCTCAGACCTGCACGTACATGCAGCAGCCGGGGCCACAATACTCCCTCTGTTTGTGAACACTGGGCCACTACAATCTGACAAAAAATACTTTGTGTCTTTGCAGAGTCCTCACTTGTCATTATCAGATGTTCTGCGTGAATAGTCCCGCAGTGAAGTTATGATGAACGGAGGTATTTTTCTAAAGATCCGGATCACATCTCCACACACACACACACACACACACACACACACACACACACACATGGCCAGACGTCAGACTGGTCTATATCTGCGCATTGGTCCACATTTGTTATAATTAATGACCTGAAAAGATTCGTACTGTACAAAAGTGTGGCCAAACCATGAAGGGCGTACTGCTGCTATACTGCTGCTGCTGCTGCTGCTGTTATTTCTAACCTTTTCACTTTTATGGCCTGTGTTAGTGTCGCCTCAAGCTACACACACCAGGAAAACAATACATCTCAAAACCAAAACCTTATTGTATAGATGCAAAGCAAACTAACAAAAGAATCCATAAAGAAGTTGGAAGTAGAGATTTTTATACAAGGCTCCATCTGACTGGAATAAGTCACCCACATAAGATCCTCAACCTCCTTTGGCTTATTTAAATCGTGAATTTAGATATCTTACCACTCCCTGTTCATGTTACTAGCTGTTTTTTTTAAAAATTATTATTATTATTATTATGTAAAATCTGGATGTATATTTTAAGTTGTATTATTCTATCAGCTGCTGTATGTATGGTATTTGATTATATTGTATACAGAAATGATCTATATGTTTTTTGATTGTGTTATTATTGTAGGAGGTGGAGTGGGATCTGAGGGAGCAAACCTGTCCTGTGTGTGTTAAATGTAGAAATGTCAATTGTTTGTATTGTGCTGTATTGTGTGTGTTTGTTTAATGTTCATAGGACCCTCTCGACAATGAGATGTTGCATAAATAAATAAATAAATCAAATCAAATAATACAACATGCAGCCCATTGTGTCACTTACCAAACGGTCCCGTACGCGCCGGATCCCACCGGGTGCAGCTGCGTGTACGTCTGCAGGACGTCCCATGTGGTTTTCTGAATATCCATGCGGTAGTATCCTGGTCTGACCGGGGAGTTGGTCACGGGAGACCCCATGACACCGTGTGGACAGACTGTACTGTTTCTCCTCTTTACATCTGACAGGTGACGCAGGTAGGTCCGTGTGGGTCCGTGTAGGTCCACAGGGGACACGCCTCCGCAGACGCTCAGCCACAACCTCTTAGTGCTTCAGAAGAGTTGGATCATTTATGATAAACAAGAAAAAAGTTATGACTCAGTTTACGACAGTCAGTTTCAGTTTCTCTAATTGTGCATGTTATGAAACTAAATGTATATGTATTTATTTGTGTCTGTCTGGTTCCCTAAGGCCACGCTAATAATACATTATACATCACAATACATTTGTACTACTACTATACAACATAATAATAATAATAAAAAACGTGCAGTTGGATTTTAATCAGCGGATAGAGCTCTTTGTCTGTATTTGTAGAGAAATGTGAGTAATGGTGTTTAACGACACAAGATAAGGTCAGACGCGGTCAAACATTAACCAGGCTTGAGTATGACACACTCGGAAAACACAAGTTAATCAGAAGTATCCATGAATAGAACAACTATAGGGGCTAAAATAATGTGGTAAAACTTTAATTCGTACTCTTTATTCGGGTAAAAGGGCATAAAACTTAGACATATTCACATCAATGCACCTTATTGTCCAGTAGGGGGCAGACACACTCAAGAATGCACAACAACCTTTGCCATCTTGTTTGTATTGCCCTATATTATACGTTTAAACCTTTTTTTTTTTCTAGCCTTCTGTTTTGTTTATACTGTTATGATCCATTTCCCAAGACACTTCTATTCTGAATTAGAGCAAACGAACATGAACCTGAATGCACCTTTACATTATTGGGTTTCTTCAGATCCATAAAGTATAACCACAGACTTAGGGCTTGGCAAAAATACATGTGGGTCATATATAGGTCTAGTCTATACATTGGCACACTACTTTAGCATGGATAGAGAGGACAATAAATCAAATTGGGTAATTTTCAGTTATGAACAAATACACAAAAGACAAACTTAAAATAAAACAAAAATTAGATGTTTGTTGTGCTCTGTTGATGTGGGAATGTATCAATAAATGATAGAAGTGTATTGTAAGTAACAGGTAAGTCACAGACTTGAAAATTACACAATAGGGCACAATATAAAATAAAAAAAATAAAATAAAAATACTATTTACCTCTCTTTCTGACTATTGCACTGAGCCAAAGCAATTGGCAAGATTATTAACACCATATACAGTTAAACTTTTATTAATGAAAACACCAAATATTTAATAAATGGCTAAACTTCAGATTTCTGATCCGTATATCATGTTGAAAGTCAAACAAAAATGACTAGACAAATTCAAAATAGAAAAATAAATAATCTAATTCATGGGTGTCAAAGTCAAGGCCTGGGGCCGGATCTGACCCGCAAATGAATTATCTTGGGCCCCAGGATGATATTGGATTATTATAACAACCCGGCCCGCACAAATCCCTAAGAAATGGGATTATTCATTTAATGCTCAGGACATGTGTTTTCTCTTTGAAGGAAGTTTGTTTTTGTATGTGAGATATTGGATTATTCATTTCATCATTAAATAAAATATTGAAATATTATATACAATCATTTTAATATGTTTTAACAATAATTGAACCTGTCCGGCCCTCGGCTTAAATGACAGAATTTGTTGGCCCTCTGATGTATTTGACTTTGACATCCCTGATCTAAATCATCTGTAATATTCACAGTCTATGGTCACCGTCTGACAGGCAGTTGAAATACCAAATGCGAATATAAATCCATTTCCGGTTTTATTTTGCAGGACATTTTTATTGACTTCCGGTGCTTCCGCTGTCTGGCTTGACGTCCATCCCACCTCTCACTCACTTGTGTCGGGTTCATTCAGAGGAGCAGTCCGCTGTCCTGGCGCTGTCCTCGGCCAAACAACACGCTGTATTCTGTGTGTGTGTGGAGGACGACCACCAGAACCCAGTGCATGGACTCTCTGTGTTCTTAACTGTGTTGTTTGAGTGTTTGGTCTGGTCTGGTCCCAGCGAATGACCTCCGAACTCGCCCCGTGTTTGGATGCGTTCGGATGGGAAGAACTGCTCACCCCGAGGGCATCAGGCACAGGTACGTCTCCAAACCCCATCTCAATTACAAGCATGACGAAAAGAAAAGAAAAGCTCCCCCTGTCTATTATCTTTTTTATGTTGAATTTATTATTATTATTTTTATTTTTTATTAGTTTATTTGACAGTGACATTGCGCCTTGAATCAGAATCAGAATCATTTTTATTGCCACGTAAGTAACAGGAGGTCACAGACTTGGAAATTGCTTTGGCTCAGTGCAACAGTCAGAAAGAGATAATAAAAAACACTTCTAAAGAATAAATTTAAATTTAAAATAGAGTTACAGTTACTATTTACAATATACAAGTGCACATGGTGCACACAATGTAAGGTGACAGCAGTACAGTGAAGTAAAGTGACGTATGATGGGCAGTAAAGTGACTTTATAAAGGGCGGGGGGACAGGTTAAGAAGTGTTCAAGAGTCCAACAGCAGAGGGGAAGAAACTGATTCATACACATGTCTGTTAGAGCACTAGTATTAGCCAAGTATGCTTTTTCTTGTGCAGTCCCTGGACAGGTGTACATAGTTTCCCAAATTCAATGCTATTCAGTGGTTGTTGTTTAAATGAATAAAAATAAAAGCAATGTTTCATGACGTTTTCCCTCTATTTTGAATATTAGAAGAATATTCATTTTAGTTTTCGGGAACTGCCACTTTGTACATATTTACATATCTCTGTGTGGACTGACAAATGCCCACAATTGTAAAGCGCTTTGTGACTGGTCTGTTAAAGGTGCTATAAATATTTTTTTTATAGAGCGCCTTTCACAGAGAAGAGTCACAAAGCACTTTACAATTGTGGGCACTAGTCTGTCACTCCACACAGAGATGGGAGCGGGGCCAGTACAGGAGGCACACGCCAGACCTTTTTGTACATGTTTATAGTGGTAGGGAAAACCTGAGCACCCAGAGGAAACCTACGCAGACATGCAAACTCAGAAAGGCCCCGCTCTGACCAGGATTTGAACCCAGGACCTTCTTACTGAGATGCGAGCTATCCATTCACCCACCATGCCACCCAACTTACTTACTTACTCTGTTTACACATAGATTTGAGAGCATTTTAATAGACGTTTTGATTATGAAACCTCTGCAACTTTCTCCAATTGTTGCGGATACTTGGATACTTGTTTAGTTGTAACAATCAGACTACTGTGGACCCTCAGACCCTCCAGCAGCTCTCCCGGGGGGTCACGCACCTCTCTTTTGTCAGTTGATGGTGGAATGTGTCAGAGGCAAAGGTTGAATACCTGGCTCACCTGCTTGCGTTGCATGTGGACCTCACAGCTGCCCATGTAAGGACTGGACTACGCCAAGAATGTGTTTGTGTCCAATCGCACATGTGCTGTTAGCCCAGCTCTGCTTTTTTTAACCCATGTCAATACACTATACGTCTGTGGAAAGAAGGACATACAAATATAAGATAAAAACAGATAAAGAATTCAGCAAAAGTCAAAGTAATGTCCGGGTTTAATGCAGTGATTCCCAAACTTTTTATGCACATACACACATTTTGTTGTCAGGGTCCATTGCATATTTCACACATTGTATTAACTATAAACCTTAGCCCTAACTGCAGATTGTAATGTGTCAAAAACGTGTCCATCTTATGCTAGCAGTGTCATTTAGCCTACTGTATTTTCGTTCATTCATTCGGAACCACTGGTATAATGGATGATTGTGAGTCATGATACTATTGTTGTCATGGCAGCTGCTGAGGTGGTTCATTGCTAGTCTGCTATTGCTGCTGTTTTGCCATTGAGCAAGACACATGGGGTGGAATCTGCTTCTAGTATGGTCTGGTATGTGTGTGTGTATTGTAAACGAATGGGCATGAAACTCACAGGACTTCACTTTTTCATATTTTTGTCAATTTTAGCATGCGTTTTTAAACTTAATGTTGTCAGATCGCTTTTTGCAGTCCACATGCTGTAGGCGGAGAGGTGTCGTGAGGGAAGCTTGTTTTTGCTCCACCCTGTGCTGTGATTTCAGCTGTTTCTGGAGGTGAGGCGCGCTCCTGTCTGACGCTCCCAGGGCATAAATCAAACAAGCATGATCTGAAAACCCGCTCTAAAAAGGAGAAGAGACTGTTAATCTGTCTCCGTTTGCATCGTTCCCATGGAAACTAATCAAATTCATCCATTCACAAAAAAAAACGTCTTCTTTGGTTTCATTTGTTTGTAGAGTGGAGCGGTCTCCTTTTGTTGGATTTCTGCGGTCGTGTGGCCCTGCCTTGAACCTGCACAACTCTTTCCTTTGATACTTCTATTTTGAACAGTTGACCATCTGTCTGCTATAGAAAAAATGCCATATCACATTACCCTTGTCTGCGCGGTACTATAGAAAATCAACTCTATGATTTTACTTGTATTGGATTGAGTCGGCATCACTATCCCCAAAGACATACAGAGTTCTCTTGAATCGTTGCTAAGTAAAACGCTTTTTTTTTTTTTTTTAAACTCTCACCACTTAAGTGAAAATGTGAATTGGATGTAGAGTATTTTTGGGTTTCGGTTTCATGTATTCTCAGCTTTTGCGTCCCCATGGTGTGGTCTTCAGGCGGCCATCTGTCTCAAGATAGTGGTGCTTTCAGAAATGCTTCTTTGCAGGAGTTTCTCATAACGTGACGTGTTGGTTACTCTTACTGCGTTCCAAACCATTTATAACTCATCTACTCATTGGACGATTGGGTTGATGTGCCAGCTGTTTTTAGTGAACTGTAAAGCACTTTGTTTTATCTTGTTTGTATGAATAGTATTTGCCTCCAGGTTTTGGCTCTGATTGCTCCATCTGAAGACTTAGGATTTTTATTAAATTGGAACATAATCATCATTGTTTATCTCCCAATAATAAATGGGGGGAAAAAACTCACTGTTTTTCCCCCAGATTGACATCCAGGTACTAACCAAGCATTAGCTGATGAGATATGAGGCGTGCAGGCTATGACACACACATCTGTCAACTGGGCAGAAAAGATTATTGGATTTATTCACAACTCCCTACAAGGCCAAATTGGTGTTTAAAAAATGCAGCTAAAGTAGAAATTCAGACTGGAAAACTGGTCCTCTCTCTACTTACTCTATATCACCTTCATGGCTGCATTTAAAAACTAAACAGTGCCTCACAGTCTGTATTAAGCTGCTGTTCATGCCGCAACCCACCTCCTCATCACCACCTGATCCCCTCAATGATGGGTCGATGTTTGGATCAGTGGGCAGTCGCAGGGCAGCGAGGACATGTTATGATTTACAGGAGTCAAATGTGGCTGCCAGAGGTTAAGGCAAGTGCGTCTTCTCAGCAGCGTGAGAACTTCATGTGGGTTTAAAGTGGGAGCTGCTCTGGTGGTGATGTGAGACTCGATGTGTCCTGTCAGAGTGCCACATTCTGCAGAGAGCCGTCAGGAGTATTCATAGCAGTACACACCACAGGTATTCATGCAGCTTAGAGCGAGGAGACCCTCCTGTTGACAACGCAGACGGTTAATGAATTACAGACACGTCCTTTTTTACATTTAAGTCATCATTATTTTGTCTGAAATGAAACTTTGACTAATAATTCAGAATAATTGGGGTGATACTCTTGGTTAAAGTAACTAACAAAGCAAATTTCATTCTTGCATTACGTGTGTGATAACATACAGACTACAAGACTGTTTTGCAACACAAATATCATATTTCTTTTCCTATATGCACCACATTTATGCAAACCTAGATGTGGTCCATGACACCTGTGCATGCTTTCATGGATGGCTTCCAGTATGTTGGTTTTTAAACGTCTTTTGTCTGGTCTGAGCCTGTGGCCTAAATATGCAAACTAATCTCCGCTCATATTTTTACCACTGCACCATGCACTTTCCATTTTCTGTGTATTTCAATTCACCTAGTGTCTTTTAAAAAGGTATATGGAGTTGTTTTGTTTCCCATGCCTGTGTGAGCAGTATATAGGCCGCTCTGTGATGGGGGCCATGTTTGCCATAGCGGTGTGACAGTGGGAAGGTGGCCGTCTGCAGCTGCTGTGGGCCCTTCTGTCACATTCTTGAGCTGCAGAGAGGAGTGGATTCACACTTGTGAGGCACACCCTGACCACAGCCCTCTCCGGGAGATAACTTTGTCACATTGTGCAAAAGACCACAGCGGTGTAACTTGTGAATGACAGATCACACCTGTGTAGGCCATGGGGAACTATATGCAATGTAATTAATATATCTGACATTGAGCCAAAACATTGATGCGTCGATCAAAATGTTTTTCTCATGATCACTTCTCAATATGCTCTCTGTAAGTGTACATGATTTATACTTGCAGATGAATCATGTTAGAATAAATCGAAATATGCTTAGTCCATAATTTTCTGGAAATATTCTGAGAAAAAAATGTAAATACCTAATTTACCTAATCTTTGATATTTGAATGTACATTAAACATTTCACATTTTATTACTCGACTTTTTTGTTTACAATTCTACATTCAGTGTTTTGGGATAATGTGCTGGTATCAGTTAGGCATTTTTTGACAGACCGAGTAATATCGAATGGATTATGTTAGGGATGCACTGATGCCACTTTTTTCAAGATTAACATTAAGATTAATAGATCCTTTATTCGTCCCACAGTGGGGAAATTGCAGTGTTGCATCACAAGTTATAGAACAGTAGGAAAGAGGACACACAGCACAGGTTAAGTGTCTATACTAATTAAAATAAAACAAAATCTCTAACTTTAGCATCAATAACAAAACCGGTACCGATTTGAGTACTTGCCGACACGGATACTAGTACTGCATTATGTTATCCCTGGGAATTTATAAAACTTCTTAAACACCAGAACACCGGTGGATTAAAGTCAATATCCAATGAATCGTCTCAACTTCACGGTAGGTTAGCTAGTTAAAACCAGTGGGGGTGGGTCCCAGCTCAAAAGTGGCCAAAATGACCGGGGTGGTATTGCGCTGACATGCTGCAATACCACCCCGGGCCGATGGGGGTGGACCCAGAAGAAGAATTAGCCAATGCTAACATATAGCGTTGGCAGACCTCTGGAAAACGTCTTTACAGGATGGACCAAAAGTTGACTCTTGGCCCAAAGCTCCGTTCCACATGTGTGTCAATGCTGAGGGGGGTGGATTTTTTTGGTCCACTCTAGTTTACTTGCGGTGAATTTTTGAAGTCTCTCGTTCAAATGAATGGAGCTGCGCCGGCTGACACATGCGCAGATGTGTTTTTTCACAATTTTCTTGTGGGCGGAACCACTCGCGGCCATTTTGGATAGCTCCAGTAGAGCATATTTTTTGGCCCATTAGTTAGAACGGCGGAGATGGGCGTGACTCTGTCCGTTAATATTTACAGTCTATGTTAAAAACTATATAATTGAAGGCATTTAGGGAGGTTTAATTAGGGAAATCATTGAGTATACTAATAACAATGTATATCACCTCACTGTCAATAACCGAGAGCGTTTTCAAAGCATAAGGACAGAGTACGTAAACTTTTAACATTGACTGCCATTGACGTTTTTGTCGGAGACTGGTGATTTCTGTCAAACTTCCCTGAATTTGACCGGGGATTACAGGAGAACAAAACTAGCTAGAAACCAACATATTTTTGCTGATGAAAGTAGACAGTCCAAGCTTTCAGAATCTGGTTTCATTTTTCACATAGTCACAGCAGATCATATCCTGTGGGTCTTGAAAGTCAGTGAATGTTGCAAGTTGGTAGAGCATTCACCTTAGGGCCTGAAGGTTGTGGGTTCGAGCCCACCACAAGACCTACTTCATGACTCCCACTGCTGTCTGCTGTTGTTGTGTCCTTGGGCAAGACATTTAACCCCACCTGCAGGAGGATCAGTGAGGGGCTGGTGCTGTGTGGGTGCATCTCTGACTGCCACCCCCCCCCCCCCCCCCCCCGACCCAGATATGGATTAAGGGGAAGAAAATGGAGGGATGGAAATCAAACAGGTCGTCAAAGTTATGGTTCCATGTCCGTGCACTACGTTAAACCTTGGGACGCTTTCAAATATGCCTTTAGAGTCCATATTGATTATATTATAAGATTGAAAAAAGTGCTTCACCCTGATGATGTTGCCTCAGTAAACCGACATTGAACTCTGAACTCTGGAAAACCCTTGGGTCCCGACTTCTTCTCCTCGCCATAATCTTACACCTTCCACATTCTCCCTGTGCTGGCCGACATTCAGAGTGGCAGATTAAGAAATACATCATTCCATTATTACTCTGCCCCAGTGTACAGGACTTAAATGGAAATCCACTCCATCCTTATCGACTTGGGCTGCCCCGGATCGTAAACACAACGGAGAATTCTGTCGTGGAAAAGGCCAACGTGCTGACATTGAGGGGCCCAGTGTATTTGGATAGAAAACAGAGATAAGACCTGTTCCCTGTTCTTACATGAACAACATTAGCTTCAGATGATGACGGGGTAGTTCAGTCAGTGCGGGACCAAAAACAGAAGCAGATTTGAGCTGGTTAAAGAATTTGTAGATATGCTTTGTCCACAATTTTCTGGAGTTGCGCCATAAGAAAAACATTAAAATACCTATCTTTTTTGTTTACAATTCTACATTCAGTGTTTTGTCAAGTTAATGTGCTGATATCAGTTAGGCATTTTTGGACAGATTGAGGGAAATCTAATGGAATAGCCCAGGAATGCACCGATACCACTTAAAAAGATACGAGTAACTTAATTTCGGTACTTGTCGATACTGATACGAATAGAATAGGCTCATTTTTGGGAGAGGTCCAGCATACCCAGTGTATTTATTTTTGGTTTATGGGTCTATTGCGTTTGTGTATTTTTGTTATCTACTATACATTATAGAGATTCTGTATTTTGATAAGATTATTTCTTTAATGGGTTTGGTTATCCCTTTTTTTTGTGTGTGTTTTTTTTCTTCTTCTGAACAATACCAAAAATAATACCCTTTGCCTTTTGGGTTTCTTCTCTAGAGTAATAAAAGTCGTGTGTGTCTGTTTTTTAAAGCTTTAACATTAGGTATGACATGCCATGGTATAGCACATACTAAGTTACAAGACTTAATAGGGTGTTTACTGTGATTATTTTATTGTTATACAGGACGATTTTCACAAATGTTAGGAAAGAACCGCCGATTAAAACGTGTCTTGCATTTCAGAATGATTGACAATAGTTTAGATGATCCACCCAGAAGTAGAAAATCCTCCTATGTACCTTTTGAATAGAACCCACTTAGATGTTGATGACTATAGTGATTCTTTTCAAGTGCATATCGTGAGACAAAACATTGCAATCTGTCTCAATATCAATATCTCATCTACATCTATCGCACACTCATAGTTCACGAGGGGCTTCACTTCATCATCGTTTGGGTCAAATTTGGTTAAAAATCTTTCCATTTTGTGCATTTTCTGATCTAAAGAACTGATTAATTAATGTATGAAATGTCTGACTATCATTAACTAATACAGGATCACATATGTATCATTGTTAGTTATAAACTGCCTGCTCTAAAGCTGCCACTTAAAACATACTGGTCCATAACAACAATTAATGACAGTAAATGTATTGGCTTCTTTAGTTGAAAATATAACTAAATGAATGAATCCTATTATTGTGACTATAAAAATCCTTTCATTAATCTAAAACACTAGCCATAAATCTAAAAGGCTCATTTAATTAGGAATAATAGCTTTTAGTCCATCAGCAATCATGAGTCTGGGCCTGAATGGGAAATAGAAGTGGATGATATAACAATATGTGGATTACGCTCTCTAATGTAATCCTGTTTCACATAATCTCCTTACAGTGGGCTACAATAAGGCGTGCCATATTGGAGGCAGGGGCGTGTCTCCTTTGTGCTGAGGCAGCTCTGGGTTTGGGACAGTGGTGCATGTGCCAACTGACCCCGACCCCCCCATGTCCCCAGAGAGGCCAGCCTGCAGCCTGGCCCGCGGGACTCCCAAACTCTGCTACCAGCTGCCCTCCCTGTCTCAGAGCAGAGCGGTTGATTAGTCACTGAGGATGTTCCCATTGTTTGCATCATGAGGGAATGTGTTGTGGGAGAAGCTCGAGTGATCATTTCAAAAGTGTCTTACTTCTTAGAGCTCCGCCTGTTTTGATTCACTGAAAGGGAGACTTTGAAGAAAAAGGATGGCTGCTCCGATGCCCAGCCGGGTGTTATTAACTCTCGTATGGGGTCAAATATTTGGCCTGCACAATTAAAGATACAGATAAAAATACAAATCTAATTCCAGGAAGTACCACCACATTAGTCCAGTTCTCAGGTCTCTGCTTCCTGTGGCTCAGAGAATAGACAGCTTTATTTGTTACAAGTGGCTGAGTGGATGGCACTGTCGGTTCTCAGCAAGAAGGTCCTGGGTTCGAATTCCGGTCGCAACAGGGCCTTTCTGAGTGGAGTTTGCATGTCCTCCCTGTGTCTGCGTTGGTTTGCTCTGGGTACTCCGGTTTCCTCCGGGTGCTCCGGTTTCCCCTACCCCTAAAAACATGTACTATAGATCTGGCATGCGTGAGAGACAAATGCCGCTATATACACAGATAAAGATTACTTACTTGTCTCTCTATGGCCTTGAACAAAAATACATCGTGACATGTTATGGCGTGTTCACACCACACTCAACTTCGACTCCGTGGGCATCAGGTTTGCATTCAAAATGAATGCTGGCGTGCGTCAGGTGGCGACGAGAAGCCGTTGCTTTGGGAGATTTGGATTTTTAAAATGTAAACAGTTCCCCATATTGACAACTAGGGGTGGGAACCTAAGGGTACCTCACGATACGATACGATACACGATACAAAGCTCACCATAATGATAATATCACGATAACGATTTTATCACGATATGACGATTATTGATATATCGGTCAGAAATATACAATATGCCAATTTATGGCATAAATAAAAGAAAAAATACTCTTTATTTTATGATAAATATAATGGAGATGCGTAATGTAGCCATATATTAAGTATTGATACAAATTCAAATTTTTTTTTTAAATCGATATCGATACTTCGCAAATGCATATCGATAATCGAATCGCGGGAGAAAGTATCGCGATCGTCACACCCCTATTGACAACTAGAGGTTTATTTGGCATACATTTAATTCATAGACGCCATACTCAGTTACATTTAATTTCCACACTTTTACCGTGTTGTAGCACGTTGGGAAATACCCACTTAAACTATCGCTTTCTCCATGCTCACTTAACTCTTTCATCCCTGAGTGTATTGATCCAGTCGGTGTCTGGAGGGCAGTTCCATGTGCTCCCAGTTGCCTTCGGCCTGAGACATAATCCTGGTCCCTGGACAGTTGCGCCTGGATGCTGCTGCGTGATTCTGCCATATGCACCACTCACAGTTGGACTCCCCTCTGCAGAAACGCCTTAACATTTGTCTCTTGGCCTTTTGCTCAGAATACAACTGTCAAATGGCATCAGCAAACCACAAAAATAGATCGGGTTGTATTCCCAGAGAACAGACTTGTGCTTTTTTAACAGTCAAGCTGGGATTCACTGCAGAATCAATAAGCAATCAATTTCATTTGCACAAGTGGAGATAACTTTGTGGGGATTGATGGATTGAGCCTGGGTTGCTTTACACTGCTGTCAATTGGACTGATGGATTCTGGGTAGGATTTAGACTGAGAAAGTCCGGAGGCTGTTGCTAACTCAGCTTGGATTTTATTGTCAACTCTTAAACATTTAGGTGTCCACATATATTCAGACTAAGATAAAGGCTTAAAACCCTTTATATGTGAGAGGAATTATATTTTTACTTTTCTGTAGTGTCGTCTTTGGCATTTTTAATCAGCCGGGGTCAAGGCAATCACACAAATGAATATGCAAATCGAGGGTAAAAACAAAACGGAAAAGGCCATTGATTGTTCTAGTTTCACCGTGTTTATGATAGTAATCCATGAGTGAAAAAGGAAGTAAAATCTTGATTTGTCGCACAGGGAAAATGTCACCCTTGGAAGCAGCTTACATTACAGGTATCCAATATTCAAAGTGTTTTATTTGTGAGTGTCCTACCCCCAAATATCACTGGAAAGTATAGTAGTAAAGTGTCTTCTTCAATCTAACGGACTATATTGTAATTGGTCACAAACTGTCATGGACCTATAATTATTGAACAGACTGGGTTAAAAACATTACTTTTTATTGCCATGTAAGAAACAGGAATTCACAGACCAGGATTTGGCTCTGTGAAAGTGAATCTATAGAATAATCACTTTCTGAATGACAGTGAATAAAATAATAATAATTTAAGAATGCACAGATTGTGAAATTTTAGGCAGATACTGATTTTTATCATAACAACTTGTTTTTTTCATATGTATTTATTTCTTGGCGGCTTCAGTTTTCCAGTTTTCTTCAGCTTCATGCAGTCACTTTCACTGCCTCTTGTTTCTCAAACGTCCAGTGAGATTCTTTACTGTAAAGGATTTTCTCGTAGCTCTTCAAATCTCATTGAACTCATGCAAACTGCAACTGCTGATCCTTTTCCGATACTGTCAAATATCTTTAGACAACCGCCGCCGTCTTCTTGGTTTCTTCTCCTGGGGAAAGTGCGCAGACGCCCTCTACTGGTGGATCTTTGCACGCGCCACCGTCGACCTATGTCATTAAAATTTACCGATGGTAGTTAACAAGGCAAACATGATTCGATCTTTTGTGCCCTCTGCCCTAAAACTGTTAATCTCTGGTGAAGGTGTTTGACTTCTGGGAATTGTGTTGGGTTACTGTGTGTTTGTGTAGAGTGTGTGTGTTCTGCTTTGAGATTATGCTGCAAATGAATTGCCCTTTGAGATCAATAAAGTTTTCTGAATCTAATACCGATGTTCCGCTCGTGCATCAGTGCTTCCCTAATTTGGAGTCATTTAAACTAAAGAAACTTGTTTGAGTCAAATAAAATGCATGAGAAAAGTACATCTCAAACACTGTTCTTTTCAGCTGTCATTTTTTGCCAAGTTTCACACTCCCACCAACATGGATGGACTCAAACTTAGGCCAAGGTCAAACCACATACCTCGACAATAATTTGAAGCTAGAAGTCTAGAAGCTCACTTTCTAGACTCTGAATGGATTCTTGCCAAGATGCAGATGTGTTGACAGACAATGCAAGCCACTTGAATCTCTCACTAATTGCAGTACTAAGAAGCAGCACGGCTTTATGTAAATGACTAGTTTAATATTTATTGAGTTTCTTTCATCTCCATCTTTGCTTCAGGCCTCTTTTGTTTTAAAACTGCTCACTAGGAAAAGCTGACGCAAAATTCATCTGGAAGCCCAGTATTGAACCTGAAAAGTGGCTTTAAATTACCTTTCTCTAAATCTCTCAGGAGCTGACAGATAAATGCTTTTCGTGCCAACTCCAAGCCTTTGTGCACATCCTCCCACCCATGCACTCTCTGTTTTTATTAAACGAGAAGCCGGGAGAGTCTCCATAGACGAGAGCATAATTCAGCAAAGGACCTTGGACAGATTGCCCGAGCTGGAGAAAGATCGAGTTGGAGAATTTGGAGAGCGGAAGGCATCACTCAGACCGGGGGGGGCTCTGTCATACATTTATGAGTGAGTTACAACAAAAACATCTCCTTATGTGTCCCTCTGAACTCTGGATGTTTGGTTAGTGGCAGTTCAAACCCTGAGGTCATTGGTCTTAGCCTGCCACTGCAATATGGAAAACAGGGAGTTAATTTCAGATGTTGTTGACCTTTGCTTACAAGTCACCTGACATGTTGACTACTTGTGGAGTTTTCTTATTTCCTTACAATAGTGGCTCATTCGGTAGAGCATCGGCCTTTGAGCCTAAAGGTTATGGGTTTGAGTCCACCACGAGACCTTCTCCACCGACTCTCACTGATGTCTGCTGTCGTTGTGTCCTTGGGTAAGACACTTAACCCCACTTTGCCCCCCCCCCCCGGCAAAACATGTAAGGGTAGTTTTTGCCTCTCAAAACTAAAGTATTTCGGAAAAACAAATTCTACCCCTCCCACTGGTGGTTGCATGTGGATTGCAATTTTTCATCGTCTTTTATCATTTCTAACTAAGATATTATTGAACATTCTAAATCGTTAAATGACAACTTAAGTAAGTAAGCATTAATTTGAAGACGTTGAATATCACACAACAATAAACAAAACCAGACTTAAAAGTAATGTCTATAAATTGCACCAAAACAGCCAAAAGCAAAATTAGTGTGGGGGTTAACAAGGGAACATGTTTTTATTGGTAGGGGAAACCAGAGTACCCGGAGGAAACCAGAGTACCCGGAGGAAACTTACGCAGACACAGGGAGAACGTGCAAACTCCACTCAGAAAGACCCTGTTCCGACCGGGATTCGAACCCAGGACCAACTTGCTGAGAAGCGAAGAACTTTATTGATCTCTTAGTGGAGAAATGTACTTGTCACATTTGGTATAGACAGCATCGCGTTGTGCAAAAGACAGGAAGTTTGCAAACATGTTGAAAAGGTTAAAATTCGTTTTTTTTTCTGTAATTCAAATGTGAAAGTCTTCACATTTAAGAGACATGTCAAGCAATTATTATTATTATTATTATTATTTTTTATACACACTGAGTCATTATCATATCAGTTCCTTCCTGAGTAATCTCGTCTGTACATGTTGCATCACAGAAGTACATTGGCTTTTCAAGTTTCTCCTGCAATGGTTGTTGGAGTTAATTGTTTTACTGCTTTATAATCGGAAACGTGTCATTTTATAAACTTCTGGTCTGTGAGTCTAGTGGGTTTGTCTATGGATTGGATGGATTGTGAAATTGACAATAATTGCTTTGATAGAATAAAAAGTGGTGCAAAATTACTTCAATGCTGAGAGAAATTAAAGCCTCAAAATGCTCTAAATTCAGTACATTCTATGACCCTATGTATTGCTAAAATATTTCTTCTCCCCGTGCATGAAGAAAGTGCTGTCCCAGTCAGTCCAGGAGGCTAACCAAACACAGGACAGGAGCAGAGTCCAGTGCAG